AGTTTTTTGAAATCTGCAAAAGTTGTATTTTAAAATCAATAATATAAAAACTCACAGTATAGCAATTTAAAATATATACAAGAATCTAAAGGTACATATATATATGTGTGTGTGTATATACACGTATACATATGTATACACACATGCAACTTGTTCTTAAACAGAGAGAGAGCCAAGTTTCATGGGAAGTCAAAGAAAGTAACATACAGAAGGAGGTTTAGAAACTCTCTCAGAGGCTTAGATAAAACATACATTAGGAACTGAAAAGTGCAAGATGAATAATTTATCAAGGCAATCTAAAATTCTAACCAATTTCAATAGCAAAATCAATTTGCCGTATTTACTTACGGTCGTAGAATCCTTAGGAAATACAGTTTCAGATGCTTCCTCATCTCTGACTGTAAAAAAAAAAATTTCTATTTACCTGTACTGTATTCACCTGTAATGTATGATATATTGGAGCCCTGGTGGTGCAAGCTGCTAGAGCTCGCCTGCTAACCAAAAGGTCAGCAGTTTGAATCCACCAGTCGCTCCTTGGAAACCTTATGGGGCAGTTCTACCCTGTCCTATAGGGTCGCTATGAGTCGGAATCCCCTCGATAGCAATGGGATTTCTGGTTATGAGTATTACATATCACACTCTCAAGTTAATGCAAACAAAAACGCTTACTAAATGGCATGAGCAAGTATGTATTTTCTGGTCAGACATCAAAAACCACATACACCACTGGACTAAATGACACACTTGAAACAAAGTAAATTGACCCAATTACAGCACTTAGAAAGGTCAGTCAACATAGTGAATGAGCTGTACTCACTTCCTTAGCACCCCTCGTAAGGTGGTGAGAACTACAGCTTGGTGATCTTGACTTTATGGTAGTGCTGTCCATCATGACTTTGAGAAAGCAGATGGAGTTGTGTGGTCAAGACATAAAGGCAAAAGCTTGAAGCCGTTCACACTTATTTAGACAGTAACGCAGTTTAAAGGCATATGTTAAATACATCTTACTCTTCAAAATGCTTCTACCCATACTATTTCACCTGAACCACAAAAGAAGAAAGCTATTTTGCTCCCAGTAAAAGAGGAATCAAAATGGTACATATGTTTGCTTAAATAAACAAAATAATAATTAAAAAGAATTAAATCCTGGTTTGGATATAAACTAATTTAAACTCAAGCTTTGAGTACAACCCATATATATACACATATATATCACACACATATATATACACATACGTATCACACATATGTGTACACACATATACACCACATATACACCCACACACGTATACACATATGTATCACACATATATATACACACGCACGCATATACACATATATATCACACATATATACACACGTATATACACATATATCACACATATATACACAAACACGTATATACACATATCACACATATATACATACACGCATATATACACATGTATCACACATATATATTACATATATACACACACATGCATATATACACATATATATCACTCTCACATATACACACACATATATACACATATATATCACACATATATACACATATATACCCACACGCATATATACACATATATATCACACACATACACATCATACACGCATATATACACGTATATATCCCACACACATACACACACATATATCATATACACATATATATCCCACACACACACATATATATCATATACACATACACACATATATACACACACATATATACACATATATATCACACAAACGCATACACACACATACATATCACATACACATATACACACACGCATATATACACATATATCACACACACGTATATATACATATATATCACACACATATACACACACGCATATATACACATATATATCACACACACATACACACACACATATATACACATGAGGAAAACAAAAGTTTTACAAAACGAACATTTCAGATAATAGATGGTTGTACAATTTCAATTGTGAAATTTAAGATTTCAATTTAGTGCCACTGGTAATGCAGAACAGATTTAAGTAGAGACAGAGAAAACTTATTTAACATTGTACTTTAATGCCTAAAGTATAAAAATGATTTATAAAAAATTCACAATTTCACACCAAATATTGGCTCTTAAATGCTCACCTGCGTAGGTAAATGAGTATTTGTAAAGCTCTTCTAGATCACAGACACAACACTGAAACATAATGCTGGACCCCTCCAGAGTACCACCTGATGTACTCACGATTTATCCAATCCACACTATGTTATTCATTTATCAAAATTACATATTTACCAAAAACAGTTATTATCTAATATTTTATTTTCACAATTTCCTTTTAAAAACATTACTAGAAGTATTAGAAAGGACAATTTATCAACATCATCTATCTTTTTTAAGTGATACAGACATTTGCTAGCATTACCTATTAGCACAGTAGAACTAAGGGTTGGTGGTGTGGCTAAAGAACTTGACCAAGACATATCTGGGTCCACCTCAGCTCCTAGACTCTCAGAAATACGTTTTGGTGTCTGACCCTGGAAACAAAATAGTTTATTAAATACATACATACTTCTAACACGCACCCGTGAATAAAGGAGTTCTGCTTCTGCTCTCTTCCAAACCATCACCAAAGTTTGTTAAGTCACTTACTTTTTAAGCTTTAGTTTTCTTAACTTTAGTGATCTGCTTCTGAAAGGTCACAGCTGTGAAAACCCTACGCAGCAGTTCTACTCTGCACACTTGGGGTTGCTGAGTCTGAACCAACGTGACAGCAGTCAAAACCACCAATGATAGTGTCCAATGTTCATTTCATGGAAACACACTGATGAAGAATATTTTTTCATTCGTTTGTCATTCACCGAATGCCAATGTGAGTCACTGAGCTAGGGATGTCTCTATGAACCTCAGGGCAAAGGGATGACGCTGGCGTTAGCTGCCATCAAGCTGGCCCTCGACTCATGGCGACCCCATGCACAATGGGATCGGACCAGTGTGATCCAGAGGGTTTTCACTGGCTGATTTTTTTTTGGAAGTAGATTGCTAGGCCTTTCCTCCAAGTCTATCTTATTCTGGAAGCACCACAGAAATCTGTTCAGCATCATAGAACATGCAAGCCTCCACCAACAGAAAAGTGGTGGCTGCACATGAGGTGCACTGGCTAGGGATCCAACCTGGGTCTTCCTGTTGTCAAATTCTCAGTAATTCCACCGCAAAAATAAACCAGACAGAATGCTTACCTTCATAAGCTTCGGTGTATGAAATAAACTTCCACATACCACTGGGGGGAGAAGAAAGAAATTATTCAGTTTCCTACGTATTAAAGTTTCCAGTACTCTAAGAGTAAAAAGCCTTGTTTTCATTCATACCTGACTTTTCTCTTTGTGGTGTTACACGTATGCACTGCAGAACAGGACTAAAACAAAACAAAACAAATACCTCAGTTATTTAAAAGGTGACAGAAATGGCAAAAAGCAACAAAACACTAGTTAACAATCTTATTGCAAAAAAAAGACTCAGTCATAGCAATTGTTTGAATTATACTTTTTTTATATCACTTTTTGAAAAGTAAATACCTGTGAAGAATCAACGGCAACAGGTTTGAGGTTTTTTTTTGGAAGTAATGTTTAAATGCCCATTGAAAACAATGTATAAAGTACAAATTTCAGCTTCTACGAATTGTGTATTTTGAATTTAAAAATTATGCAAAGTGAATATGAACCTATAAGAGCATTGCCAATGATCTGAAGTACACAATTTTAAACTGATATTTCAAAGATGTATGGCTTTCCATCATTAATTAATATTTGTTACTTAAACAGTCACAGAAAATACTATACAGAAAACCAGCCAATTCAATGTTATGAGAAAAATAGAGTAAATGTTTCTAATGTAAAAATTATTCTATAAAAAGTCTGAACTTAAAAGGAAATTATTTAAAAATAGAAGATCCTCTACCAGACTCAGCCAAAACATTATCATGAAAATTAGATGCATTTCTGTAAAACAAATATCATACATAGAAAAATACCCCAGCTTTTAAAAAACAAAAGAAAAACGTTTTCTTTAAATATTGTAATAG